TTATTGTATTTACGTACATTTTTGGTTCAGTGTAGTATACATAACGTAATACGTTAATGACATTCACGATGAAAAGCGATTTTAGTCCTCTTGGAAATAAATGTTTGACAAATATTGAATCCCTTATAAATCGCTTTTGCATTGCCATTTAATTGAAGCAGTAATTTTTTATTGAATATATTTGACAAAACAATTACATGATAGCTTTCTTAAGTTATAAAAGCATTTTTTTAATTTTGGAAACAATAATTTTTTTAATTATAGAAATTACCCATAAAATAAAAGTAAAAAATAAATATAAAAGGGTTAACGTAGTTTGATGTTATTTTCAGGATTTGTCGTACAAGGATAAGCACTGGCATGAGGCCTGCTTCCTCTGCAACAGGTGCAGAGTGTCCTTGGTGGACAAACAATTCGGTAGTAAGGTGGACAAGATTTACTGCGGCAACTGCTACGACTCCCAATTCGCCAGTCGTTGTGATGGATGCGGCGAGATCTTCCGTGCTGGTACGTAATATTTTAACGCAGCAGCTAATTTTTCGTACGACAAGGAATTAAAGAGAGATCCTTAAAATGTCACATAGGACTTCGATCTAGTCTTTCAAATGTAAATACGTTTATATGCTCATGATTTATTTATGTGTGACGCAAATATTACAATTGTTTATAGCTATTTATAACATGCACGCGAACGGTGAGAAATGCAAGAACGCAGATTCTATCTGTATTTAATAATGATGCAAGACGATTCTTTGAAATTTTGCAAAAGCTTTGTGCAATTTGCACTTGTTAGATGCTACACGATAAAATTTGATTATTGAAAAAAAGATATTACACAATGAACGAGAACATTTTATTCATTTTTCTCGCTTTTTTCTCATTTCGAGCGAAAGTAGGAAAATTGGAAGTTGGAATTTAAGTATGTTCTTGAAAATAGTTACAAATTTTATGATGCTTTAATATAGCTTTTGTAATTTATTGCATCGCGTAAACTTTCTGACAAATTTATAGAGCCATTAGATTTTAATGCGACTAAATATTAGATTTTAATGAGACTTTCTAGAAGGCGATTAATAAAAAAAAAAAGGTTCAAATGTAAAAAATACAAATCCGATATACGGCACATTCAATACAATCGATAAACATAAATGATAAACGTCTCGATTAACTGGCTATCCGTGTCTGAATGACCACATCAGCGATTATATCATGAAACGTAAATGAACGTGAGGAGAGTATAATTTACGAAGTGAGAGAGACAAATACGGAGTAACAGTCGTGGCGTACAATGAAAGGTCGAGTCAGAAACAAATCTCCTGGTGATTTCCACCTACGATCGCGTTAACACCTGTTCTTGATCGATCGCTAGCGAATCGTTCGCCGACAGTGATTCATGGTGTCAGGTACGAACGCAAACGACCGAGAGAGAAAGAGAAAACCAATAGATCTTGCATTCGGCGTTTCTTATTAAGGTAACTGAGTCAAGGCTCGCGGGCTTCAGACACTGGCCAATTATTGTGAGCCGTTTTGGGACTGAGTACGTCATTTTATATCTAATTCGTCAGCTCTAATAGCATTAAATCATTTTGCATCAATATCTTAATTAAGCTGCATTTACCTTTCTCTTGTATTCAGAGATCTTGTCCGACCTCTTGAAATGACTTCTTTCATAGATCGATCTTGAAGCCACTGGTCTTTTTACGTAAAACTTTTTCTGTCTGTGAAACCGAATGACAGACGATGAGATTAATAAATGTGGGCGATGGGGGTGCTTATTTGCAACGATTTAAGTTTGTTTAGATTTTAAATGTTTGTAACATTGCTCATATTTGAATTCCCTGTAATTATTTATGTAATTATTTTGATAATCCGCGTAAGTATTAATTTTAACTTTTGATTATGTTTTATTTAAAAATTGTTTAAGCTATAAATATTTATAGGATGAAAGTAATAAATAAGAGTCATAGTACAAGATTGGTTTTACAAAAATTTGAACAAAAAATTAACAAAAAGTTATACACAACACGTTTATGATATCAAGTTTTATATTTTCTTTAACTCCTACAACGGAAAATAAACTGTAGCATGAATTAATGAAGTTTATCGAAAAACAATCATTCCGATGCATTCAATGCGAAATCGAAACGCTCACGTAAGTGGGTCAACTGCGAAGATTAGTGGTCAACCATGACAATCGACATTTTTCAAGATAAACCGATGAAGGAACCGGTCGTTATCCGGGATGATAATCGCCATATCCACTTTATTGCTCAAAGTTTGCTTAAAGGTTGCATATGCGCAACCTTCAACTGGCAGATACCACGATGACCTATATTATAATACAGTTCACGCTGCGCACCGCGATTCATTCGAAAGATTACGAAATCCTTAAAAAATATTACAGAGAATCTCGGCTGAATAGCACAAATGTCATTTTATCCGACATAAATAGGATGTTTAAATATCTGAGCATTTAAAGTATTGACTTAGGCATGAATTTTGAGATGAGATAAAAGAGATGAAATCTTATTGCCTTAATTCTGAAAGAGAGAGATGAGATCTTACCTTAATTCCAAATAGATAGCAATTTGAATATCTAAACATTCAAAAGAATGTAAACTTAAGATTTTGATAAAGCGATATAGAGATGCGACATTTTTCGTTCTGAATTAAAATAGAAGATTTTAGAAGACTTTAGAAAAAATAAGATTCTTGATGTTAAGAGATTTCACGGAAATATCGCAAACACTATAATTTTTACTGAAACCTATGTTATTACTTATTGAAACTTGTGACGCACTTCGCTCTAATAATATTGGCATGCACTTATCATCAGGATGCAGCCCGCGCTATTCTCACAACGTAGTTGTTCGTTAGGAATAATTTGCGTGATACATTCAGGAAGGTCGAATGGCGTGGGAGTTGGGACGAATTCCAATTTCTGACAAATAAAAAGAATTAGCTGACGTCGGGGTCAATCGAGGAATTGTCGGCGCAAATGATTTGGTACCAGCGTGTATCTATACACGGAACTTGACATTTCACGAGCTGCGTATCAATCTTTGAAATCCGATCGCATTCATGATACTGCGAACATGCGATCTGTCTAGATATTCTAGATTTCCTGTTTCCTATGTCTGTTTCTGCCATGTTTCTCTTCCGATACCAATTGAAAAATAGATTGAAAAGAGTACTTACGGACGTTTACGCGCGAAGTTACGTGGAACGAATTTTCCAGCTATTCAATTCGTAAAAGAAATTACGCATCATTAATCATTCGATGTCCGTAGATAAATCTTCGAGCACCTTAATTTAACAAAATGTAAATAATAGTCTATGAATAGCAATCGTCAGAATTTTTTTTTATATTAAATGACATGTAATGTACTTATTGCTATTTGCAAAATTATTTAACAGAATATTTCATTTTCTGCAACTGTTATTATTCCCAAGAAAAATGGACAAACTGCCGAGAATAAATTGAAAGTGTCAAACAACTTTTCTGCATGCAAATTTGTCATTTACTTTCAAACATAAAATTTTGATAGAAGAATAGTTATGTAAAATAATATATATATA